CCCCCACCCCACCCCCCACCCAGTGAATTATCCATGGCTTAGTGTTGCTGTTTCCAATGTTGAGAGAGAATGGAGAAAGAGTGCGATAGTACAAGCGTGATACTATAAGAGTCATACAACAAGAGTGGATACTATAGGAGTCACACCATAAGAAGGATACTTTAAGAGTCATACCATAAGAGTGATACTATAAGAGTCTTGCCATAAGATTCATACTATAAGGATCATACTATGAGAGTGATGTTATAAGAATGATACTATAAGCGTGATACCATAAGACAAGCGATGTTCAAATTGTCGTGCCATAAGGAATAAGCTATAGTGAAACAGAGAGACACATATAATGACAATCCTCTTAAAAGGTGAGTTTGTTTGACCGATTAAACAGAGTGCATCAAATAAAATGAGCAAGGTTTCGTAACAAGTAGTTTAACCATGTTTTTTATTTTTTTATTTTTTTTTTTTTTACTTCTTTGGGTTTTTTTTAAAAGGGAAATGTAAATATTGATTAATTTGTAGGTTTGGAATTTTGAATTTAATGTACTAATCACCAAGGTCTAACTTGGCAACGCATATTTTTGTTTTTTGTTGTTTTTTTTCGTTTCTTTGTTTGTTATGGATTTTATTGGAAATAAAATTTACTATATTTATCTTTACAATATTATTATTTTTATTATTTTTTAGTTAGGTATTTTCGCATACAAGCAGAAAACTAAATAAGAATTAGCGCCCCCCATCTAGTTCAGATAGATATCACCAACAAGTTCAGATAGATATCACCAACTAGTTCAGAGATAGATATCACTAACTAGTTCAGATCGATATCACCAACTAGTTCAGATAGATATCACCAACTAGTTCAGAGATAGATATCACCAACTAGTTTAGATCGATATCACCAACTAATTCAGATAGATATCACCAACTAGTTCAGAGATAAATATCACCAACTAGTTCAGATCGATATCACCAACTAGTTCAGATAGATATCACCAACTAGTTCAGATCGATATCACCAACTAATTCAGATAGATATCACCAACTAGTTCAGATTAGATATCACCAACTAGTTCAGAGATAGATATCACCAACTAGTTCAGATAGATATCACCATCTAGTTCAGATAGATATCACCAACTAGTTCAGATCGATATCACAAACTAGTCCAGAGATAGATATCACCAACTAGTTCAGAGATAGATATCACCAACTAGTTCAGATAGTTATCACCAACTAGTTCAGATCGATATCACCAACTAATTCAGATAGATATCACCAACTAGTTCAGAGATAAATATCACCAACTAGTTCAGATAGATATCACCAACTAGTTCAGATAGATATCACCAACTAGTTCAGATCGATATCACCAACTAGTTCAGATAGATATCACCAACTAATTCAGATAGATATCACCAACTAGTTCAGAGATAGATATCACCAACTAGTTCAGATTAGATATCACCAATTAGTTCAGAGATCGATATCACCAACTAGTTCAGAGATAGATATCACCAACTAGTTCAGATAGATATCACCAACTAGTTCAGATAGATATCACCAACTAGTTCAGATCGATATCACCAACTAGTTCAGATAGATATCACCAACTAATTCAGATATATTTCACCAACTAGTTCAGAGATAGATATCACCAACTAGTTCAGATTAGATATCACCAATTAGTTCAGAGATCGATATCACCAACTAGTTCAGAGATAGATGTCACCAACTAGTTCAGAGATAGATGTCATCAACTATTTCAGAAAAACAAAAGAAACTATTACGCACCAAACGCATTTGCAATATATTTATTAAAAAATAATAACAATAATTTAGCGTAGTAATCGGCAAATTCATTTAGTGAAGCAAGTTGCATCCCATTTCCTTCATCTTTCATTTGAAAAAACAGGAAAAACAGATTTTTGTGTCGTGGGGTTGGGGCGTGGGGTTGGGGCATGGGGTTGGGGCGTGGGGTTGGGGCGTGGTGTTGGGGCGTGGGGTTGGGGCGTGGGGTTGGGGTTTGGGGTTGGGGCGTGGTGTTGGGGTTGGGGCGTGGGGTTGGGGCGTGGTGTTGGCGCGTGCGGCTTAAACATTTGAAATAATTTGATGTTATCGGATCACGATTCTATGTGCCAGGTTGGTTGGTTGACGGAAAGTGGGTCAAATAGCCATCCGGTGACTTCGCCCGCCATTCACGATCAAGAGCGAAGTTAGTATGTAAAGGTTTGTAATAAAAATGTTGTTATTTTCGCACAGATGTCAGCGTTTCGAGGAGATACCCTCTTGTGTCTTTACACAGTCTGCCTTAGAGATTGACGAAAGTCAGAAATGAAACAAGCCTTGAGAACAAAGGGTTTTTGTGTGAATCCTTTAGAAAATCGAATATTGTGCAATGGCGGATGCGGCTTAAAAAATGAGAAAACGTACAGACAAGTAACGCATATGTTAGGAATCCTAATTTGTGATTTCCAGCCCCCCCCCCCTCCAAAGGTCGCAACCCCACACTTCTTTCACGCCCATATTAACCAATATTAATATTCTAATGAGCCACCCACTTTTACACTGAATTTTTTTTTAACATATATGTTTTGTTTTTTTTTAAATAAAAAAATATTACACACGAGAAGCACTTGTGATATATATTTATTTTTTTATTTTTTTTTTTAAACAATCGCATTGAACGCAGTTTTTCGTGAAATGAGTGTCATCATATTTCGTCCAGCTTCCCCGTGATGAACAGAAAAAAAACGAATTTATTGGTCTGGGTTGTGGTCCGTGGCTGAAGCCTTGTCTCTTTACACCAGTGGTTCTCAATCTTTCTAATTCCGCGACACTTAATAATAATTATAAAGTTCATTTCAAAAACACGCTTCATCCCCAAAGGCTCGAAGCGCGGTACAAAGTCAACAAAATACAAATCTATAATTTACTACATTTAAAACAAACACAACACTACAAAAACTAATTACAAGCATACATTGGCAAAGACTTTCTACCCATTTCAACCCCAAGCAACACAGCCATCATGCATTAACTGAAAAATAAGGTTGACAATCATCCCAGAAGGTGTTGTGGTGACACCATAACCACGAAGTTATTATCGTTGATTCTTTATAACTGTAGATTATATGTGTTTTCCGATGGTCTTAGGCGACCCTTGTGAAAGGGTCGTGCGACCCCCCAAAACGGGGTGCGATCCACAGGTTGAGAACCGCTGCTTTACACAGTCTTCCCTCTAAGACAGACACAAGGAAAAAAGTTGAGGAACAAAAAATAACACTATGTTTTCGGTATAAACTCTTGTGTTGCATAGTCTCATGTGCTCTGCCATTTATCTTCTTTAACTATATTTGTAGGACCATATAAATGTTGATTATCGACTGAATGACAGTACATTTGAAAATAGCGGTGGCACATTCGGATAGCGGTTCGTTTCTCCCTTGGGATTAAATATGTATTTGTTTGTTTTTTAAATATTTGATACATATTATAATTCAGAAATTTAATTAATACGATATATTCATACTCATTAATGTATGAAGCTTATAAATACGTTTATTAAATAACTATAAAGGGGAGCAGGCGATTGTGCTAGATCCTAAAGGATTCGTGATCTGATTCTCACCGGAGTAAAAAAGAGATTGATGTTTTTTCTTCTTCTTTGTTATTGTGTGTTTTTTGTGTGTGTTTGGGGGGAGGGGGGAGGGTGGGGGTGGGGGTTAAAGCTTCTTCGTCTGCTATCCCTGACACATCTCACATAAAAAATAATCAAAGGTAGGCAAGACGTGTTGCCTAGTGGTACACATTTAGTAAGAGCACCATCCAGAAAAAGTCTCAGTGGTCGAAATGTGGTCAACGCGGCATTTGGACCAAAACCCCCCCCACCCCCAAAAACAAATCATTTGTTCTCCAATATTGTCAGTATTTATCAACGCCCCACCCCCACCCCCGCTTCGGCTGTAATCACTCAAAACTCATTTTTGTCACCGATTTCTGAAGAACGCATCACGCCGAAGGGTCTATTTCATTGTCCTGTCTTTTCCTTCATTAAATCTCAACATAATCTTGTTCTACTATTTACTTGCCGCGGCTTGTACGCAGTACTTTGTATAGCTTATTTTTTCACTAAGTCTATTATCAAAGGGTGTGAATTGATTATTTATTTTTACCATTTTTTTCCTGTTATTTTTCTTAATGGGACTTTTTTCCCCTCAGTGACTTTTTTTCTGATACTCTTTTTCCTAGAATAACTTGGTCTTTTTTCTTTAACCTCTTTTCCTGTGAATTTTTACGTGTGACTTTTTCCCGTGACCTTTTGTTTTCCGCTAACTAGAAAGATGGCATATTTTACAGGTGTCATGCAGACCACCTTTTTAAGTCATATTTCCCCCATGCTGTGAACTCTAGCAGACGCTGTGTTAGTATTGGGCGTGACTTGTTCCCTTTGAACTTGTTTACCACATACCAATCTATCTTATGTTTTCTTGACTCGAATATGGTAGGAATTGTAAAATGTTCGAGTCGCTAATATAATGCGTGATACGCCTGGAATTTTCTGTAGAACAGAATAAAAAGCAGAGAGCATTTTTTTTCGACGATAAGATTTTTTCTTTACGGGACGACAGGCTAACATTTATTTTTAGAGTGTGCTTACTTTTATATGTGAATTCCTTTCATCGTTGTACCTTTGTTTGGAACTTTGTAATTTTCATGAACTTTTGTACCGGTACAAGAAACACAATAGTCTGTAAGTTTCTGTAATGATTTAAAGTATGTTTCTTTTATTTTGTAATTTGTTAGTAACTTAATAAAGCTTATTAATTGCAGTCAGCACTGTTTTGAGTGCCGTATTCTTTGTTATTGTTTTTGCCTTTGGTATCGTCTTTTCGTGCACTGCTTTGGAACGAGCCATACATGTAAATAGGAGATTAATTTTTCCCTACGGATAGCAGTGCGTAACAACAGGCCGATACAGTTATATATATCAGAAAAAATGTGTATCTGCATCTCGTTGAATTCCAGTTCGTTGTATTGTATAGATCGTAACCAATTTTTGTTTCATTGTACAGCCCGGAGCCCATGTTCGTTGTATCGTACAGCCCGTAGCCCATGTTTGTTGTATTGTGCAGCCCGTAGCCCATGTTTGTTGTATTGTACATACCGTAGCCCATGTTTGTTGTATTGTGCAGCCCGTAGCCCATGTTTGTTGTATTGTACATACCGTAGCCCATGTTTGTTGTATCGTACAGACGGTAGCCCATGTTTGTTGTATCGTACAGACCGTAGCCCATGTTTGTTGTATTGTACAGACCGTAGCCCATGTTTGTTGTATCGTACAGACGGTAGCCCATGTTTGTTGTATTGTACAGACCGTAGCCCATGTTTTTTGTATTGTACAGACCGTAGCCCATGTTTGTTGTATTGTACAGACCGTAGCCCATGTTTGTTGTATTGTACAGACCGTAGCCCACGTTCGTTGCATAGTGCAATCTCTCGTCAATGCGCCTTTGTGTGTCATTGACGTGGGGATCATTGGTCACGTTTGTCCAAAATTAAATGAACACTTTTTTGTCTTTTTTTTAAAGCTGGAGATTGAACGACATGCCAACGCACAGGGTGGATGAAAAGTGGTCAAGATTATTAATTTTTTTTTTATTTCAATGAAGAACTTTGAAGTTATAAGGCATACAATGAAGCAAAGGTAAGATAGGAATATTGAGTTTTGAATATCATTGGTGAATTCAGACAATTCGCTTAAGACGCTATTTTAAACACCCCGTGTCTTTCCAATGACCAGACATTAAGGGGAGGGCACTTATCAGTACGCTAAACACAGAAGTGTTCAAGTGTACCGGATTGTCTGAGATACGCAAACGCAAAAAATATCACTTTGTGAGCTAATTTTTAAATTTTGTTTATATTTTTTATTTTTTTTTAATTTTTTTTTTTCTTACAAAGAATTTGAAGGCAGCGTGTGTCTGCTTCCAAGCGGTTCGCAGTGGTTAGCGTGAACCAGGTATTAAAAAAAATACTTTAAAAAACAAGCTTAAACAACGGTTCTTGAGATAATTTTTTTTTTAAATTGAAACATGTTACTAAAGATAACTTGCTATTTATAGAATTGGTTCCTGAAAATTTGAAAACTACCACTGCTTACAGCCAATTATTTTTTTGTATGTTTAATTTTTTTTTTTTTTTTTTTTGTTTATATCTATTTTTTTTTTTTTATTTTTAATTTTTTTTTTTTTTTTTTTAAAATTAATATTTTAAATATTCAAATAAATGTTATGTTTTTTTTTTCAGAAAAAGATCAATCAGATGCAAAGTATTTTTCGTTGTAATGCTCTCCCTTGTCGGATATGCCTTCACCTTCTCACATTTCTCGCTAATTCACCCGAACGATGACCAACAAATTAACCACCACGAAGCCACCATGGAAAGAGATGGGAGGAGACTCGAGACTTTTTTCGAAGAACGCAGCAGACAAGAAACAGACAAGGTCCTAATTTTACGCTCCCAGGGAGACACAAACCTTACAAACCTCAAGGTTTCGGAACTGGACGAGATGATCCGTAACGAAACGAAACCGGAAGAGGATTTGTTACAACCAGCCGCTGGAAGGATCCAACACAAACAGGAAAATACCGAGGCAGTGTTCAGTGAGAAACTTATTGCCACTCAACGGAGTCGGTCAGAGGACGTACAGAACGGCCCGGGTGGGCGCCTGTCTAGAAGTGTAGGAGATGATAAGAAAATAGTTCGGGTGAATCTCGAAAAACAAACAAACGGAGATATTGTGAAAACTGTGAGTTCACTTGAGGAACCGTCTATGGTGACCAAAGACGAAAATCTTGTTCCAAAGAGTCAAAAACGCAATAAAACACAGAAAGGAATGGAGGCTCAGAAAGACGCAAGTTCAGGTGCGCCCAGCGTTAACGAAATTCTGAAAGCCGAATTGGAAGCGAAGATGGCGCGAATCGAGCTGTTGTCCCAGCCGGTCATCAACGACCACAGCTTCGAATACATCCGGAATCCGGTCAACGCATGCGCCTTCAGCCGAACGGAGGTGCTATTCATCGTTCCTTCGGCGCCGGAAAACTTTCAGAGGCGGGCGAATACCAGGAAGGGCGCCCAGAGCAAATACGCCCGTGAGCCGTCCAACAACTCAAAGATGGTTTTCTTCATCGGGAGGCCCGCCTGCGGAAACGACTCCGCCAAAATCCAAGCACAAATAGACGACGAGTTTCAAACTCACAGGGACATAGTGCAAGAAAACTTTGAAGATGTTTATAAAAATATTCGCCTCAAAGCCGTCTCTATGCTCAAATGGACCACGACGTTCTGCAAGGAAGCCAGGTTCGTCATCCGAACTGACGATGACGTCACGGTGAACGTTCCGAAAATAGTATCCGTCATGGAGGCGAAGAGCAGGCTCCACTCCGAGTTCATCCTCGGGGACAGAAAAGACGGCTGGAAACCCGTGCGGAAAGTGCACGCTAGATTCTTGAAGTACTTTGTCTCAGAGGAGGAGTACCCCGATCCGACGTACCCTCCTTTCGCAGTGGGTGGTTTGCTGGGCTATCCGCTGAGCACTGTGTCCTTGCTGTACCAGGCGGCTCTCAGGGTCAAGCCCCTTTGGCTGGACGATGTGTTCATCACGGGCATCTGCGCTGTCCGACTGCGCATTCCACTGTTAAAAGACCCTGACTTTGTGTTTAAACACCCGAAGCCTACAACATAGTTTTTTTCTCCAGGACGTGTGCAATCACTGCTTATATTTATAACGGCTTTAAAGTATTACTAAACAGTTGTTTTATTTCCTATTAATATCTTCGTATAAAAAAAAAACATCACCAGCACCCCGGGTGGATGGGACTAGTCAACCTTGGTTGGCAACTTATCTAAGAGAAGGAAACTCTGAAATCAAACCCGGAGATGGAGTCCCGAAAGGCGGATAACATTGGTACAATGAAACATTCCGACAACTCCTGCGACGTCACTGGTGCCAAGCTGTATCATCCAAATGATGTTCCCTTTGGGTTATCCAGCGGCGTGGAGAGAGGCGATTTGCTGTTGGGAATCAGCTTATAATCCTTGAAGAATAATCCCAGGCCTTGTGGATTTCGTCCTCCGAAGCCCACACTATCGCCACATTGTGACGGACGGATGCCAACAAATATTGACATTATTTTGGTTTTAATTTGATTTTTTTTTTTTTTAAATTCATGAAGAAATAATTCAGCTTTGCCTGTTCACACAATCACATCTTTGTCAAATTAGCGTCAATTTGTTGTCACATTTCTCTTTGAATGCAGTATATATTCAAACAAAATGATGCGTTAAAAAAGAAATTTGACCCACAATCTGCAAAAAATTTGATACAATTTTGATCGTGTGAACTGAGCATGTCGATAAGTTTTGTTACTGTTTGGTAACCAGCCAAAATCTTGGGCATTCCTAAAAATATATTTCATTAGTCATGCTAAAAATGTAAATCACATTGAAGGGAAAAAAAATTATATATTTTTGTATTCTTGAATGAATAGCAAAGGCAATTAATGCATTGATAACTCTGGTAAGAATCTCAAATTGTATATATTTATGGCAATAGATTTATGTAATTTCTAGGCACCTTTCCTTATGTGACCGGACGCCTTTGCGTTTAATGTAAATATATGGTTATTAAAGATAGACGATATGGAATCTATGTGTATACTTTGGACTTAACACCTAAAAATATGATGCATTACAGCGACACCTTTGTAATGATATTGTGACCGGTTGTCAGATATTGTGAACAGTTGTCAGATGTTGTGACCAGTTATCAGATTTTGAGACCAGTTGTCAGATATTATGATAATTTGTCAGATATCGTGACCAGTTGTCAGTTAGTGTGACTGGTTGTCAGATATTGGGACCAGTTGTCAGATAGTGTGACCAGTTGTCAGATAGTGTGACCAGTTATTTGATAATGTGACTAGTTATTAGACATTGTTACCAGTTGTCAGTTAATAGCGTCCCTTGCAATACATCACCTTGTGCCAAAACTTGGAATTACCATCTTGACCAGTGCAGCTATTTATTTTAATTAAACAAACAGTTTTCAACATTTTCCTCTTCTAACGACCACCCCCCCCCCCAATCCAACCTTTATATAATTTAGATGCTCCCCACAAAAAACTTTTAAGCTTTAAATAAATTATTTTCATAATATGAGGCTGTACTGTTTGTATCACTCATGTATATTTATATTTTAATTGAAAAGGAATCAAATATACCCCCCCCCCAAAACACACACACTATTTTCCCTTTATATTCATAAACCTATGCAAGCCTGTTTAATGTCATGACGTAATTAAATATTAGTAGTGTAGTAGGGTCAAATCAAGGCACAAAATGGAGGCGCTCATTAAGGCGCGCGCCTGTGTGCCTTAGGCGCGCCAAGGGGCATAACCCGATAATTACTGTCTTATAATTGTGACCTCCCTTTGTTGTCCGAGCGTAATTATAGTTGTATTATAGTTGTATTGTTGTCCGAGCGTAATTATTTTTGTATTGATTTTTTTTTTTGGATTGTGTCATTATACTTGTATTGTTGTACAATGGTATATTTGATTAATGACGACAGCAAAGACGACATCAAAGAGATAACAAAAGAGGGTTTTATATATTACTTTTATTATATTTTATGACAAGTGCATGATTCAACAGAATCATGATTGATTCAACAGAATTACAATTTTATTGCATAATTTTATTATAAGTGGTTCTCAAATTTCTATTGAGTGGTTCTCATTTTCTCTAATGAGTGGTTCTCATAGTGTTTTGGGTATATTTTTTCTTGTATTTTAATTAGTTTTCATGTCTATTTTAAGTGATTCTCAAAGTATGGGGGTCATTTTTTTTTTTGTTATTTTAAGTGATTCTCAAAGTATGGAGGTCATTTTTGGTTGCCTTTTAATAGGTTTTCTTATATTTTTAATTAGTTTTCTTGTATCTTGTATATGGTTTGGTCGGCAGGACAGGTGGTTTTAAGATTCTTCTTGGCAAGTTTGAGGACGGAGTAGGGTCCTAATTAGAGTTATTGTAGTGTGTTGTTTAAATTTGTAGGCTTAGTGAGTTATCTTTTGTGCGCATGACAGATGTTTTAAGTTTCTTCTTGTCAATTTTCGATTGACTGGTTATCATTTTCTCTTTAATAAGGGGTTCTCATTAGGTGTGACTCATAACGAGTTTTCTTCTAGTTATGGAATAATTCTGTTGTAACAGGATAAGTTTATTGAATTTTATTGATGAGTAAGCAAATATTTCTCATTTTCAGTAGGTTCTCAAAGTGTTTTGGTTGTATATTTTCTTGTATTTTAATGAGCTTTCTTGTCTTTTTTAAGTGATTCTCAAAGTATGGGGGTCATTTTTGGTTGCATTTTAATAGGTTTTCTTATATTTTTAATTAGTTTTCTTGTATATTTAAAGGGTCAAGGGCGGGTCAGGGTCGATTTTCTAATAAGTGGTTCTCATTAGTTGTGACTCATAACGAGTTTTCTCCTCGTTATGGAATAATGCGGTTGTAACAAGATAACTTTATTGAATTTTATTGATGACTAAGCAAATATTTCTAATAAGAGGTTCTCAAAGTGTTTTGATTGTATATTTTCTTGTATTTTAATTAGTTTTCTTGTCTATTTTAAGTGATTCTCAAAGTATGGGGGTCATTTTTGGTTGCATTTTAGTAGGTTTTCTTATATTTTTAATTAGTTTTCTTGTATATTTAAAGTGGTTATCACGATGTCGGGGTTGATTTTCTAATAAGTGGTTCTCATTAGGTGTGACTCATAACGAGTTTTCTTCTTGATATGGAATAATTCTGGTGTAACAGGATAAGTTTATTGAATTTTATTGATGGGTAATCAAATATTTCTCATTGTCAAGGGGTTCTCAAAGTGTTTTGGGTATATTTTCTTGTATTTTAATTAGTTTTATTGTCTATTGTATATGGTTTGGTAGGCAGGACAGGTGGTTTTAAGCTTCTTCTTGTCAATTTTGAGGACCAACTTGGCTCATAGTTAGGGTAATTTTAGTGTTTTGTTTAAATTTTTAGGCTTAGTGAGTTATGTTTTGTGCGCATGACAGATGTTTTAAGTTTCTTCTTGTCAATTTTGAGGACCGAGTAGGGTCCTAATTAGAGTTATTGTAGTGTGTTGTTTACATTTTTAGTCTAGGGGGTTATATTTTTTAATTATCAATGACTTACAAGGCATACCATCACCCCACCTGCGCTCACAAGTCACGCTACACCGCGCATTGTAACCAAAGGTCACAGCTCGTCCATTGTTCACATTTCCCCGCTACGCTTGTTAAAAAAGGGGCTGACGTGCTCTGTGAGTGGCGGGGCGCTCTGGTTAGACCATAAATAACAATGGCGCCCGGGGAGCTAGCTACAAGAAATTTTAAAAGTAGGGTTGTGTATTTTATACGGACAGGGCTCCCTCTTGGTTCTACCAGATATTCCGACAGACTTCATAACAAGCACTAGGCATTCCACTGAGAATAAAACGTAAGAAATGTACGGATTAACCCTGTTTCCCATGTCATTTCCCACCATTCATGAATCGGCCGACTATGGGAACAATTGCACGTGAGGCAAATCTAACAGGTGTTTTAGTACAAGGGATCTCATCTATTGGATTGGGGGAATGAGGGGTGTTACTATAGCAGGAGTCTGTGTATTAACGGGTTAGTGTATTTGTAAGATTTAGACCCCTTTGTTTAGATGAAATTTTTCGATGGTCTGAGGGTAGACACAACCATTAAAAGTGCCCATAGGGGCGGGGGATTGTAAGCGATACGTGGGTAAATGACTTTTAGTGACAAGGGTTCTAAAAATTTTAAAATTTGTAATGTTTATTAGTAAAGTATATACATCAACAACAGATAGAAAATAACAGGAGTCATACATTTTAATTGTTTTTTTAATTGTCCGATACAAACATAGTTATTTTAAGTCATACATTTTAATAGGTTATTGACATTATTTTTTAAGAGGTAAAGACGACCCTTGTGTTTTTACAAGCGTTCGTTTGTCCAGGTGTTGGCGTTATCTTGAGGCAACAAGAATGGATAGGGCGCCAAAGCCGACAAAACCAATAGCAGTAAATAAAGTACATTTCCATATCTTTTCAGCCAGTTCCGATTGAGCTGGAAAAAACTCAACGAATCCATCCTGAAAATTAAGAATAATACATATAGTTATAGTAAGACATATGTTTTTTCTCTTTGTGTCCAACGATAACGTATAATTTCCAGACGGAAAGCCTTGCCTAGGGCATCTAAACTAATATTTTTTATTAACTATACGATAGTCTTTAGGTCTACTTAAAACTATAAAAAATAAAATAATTACCCATCCTCCATTGTCGAGAATCCATTTTCCAAGTTTGTTAGCAACATATTTTCCAACAAATAAGGCAAACTTCTTTTGGTAAGGTATGGACCTCGAAGAATAGGATTCATTTATGTTATCAGATTGTTCATTTTTATTATTGTCAATGTAATACTTGACAACTCGTGCAGCAAAGGCATAAACAGCAACAAGCCTTCCCCAGTTTACTTGTCCATCAGCAAAGATTTCATCCGCAACAATAACAAAAGTTGGAAATGCATTTGTTTCATCTGGTTTTAGTCTGTTGACCAACCCGGTAAAAACTAAATCATGCCGATCTGACAGCTCTTTCACAGTACGCCGTAAGGTGCGACAATATTTATTGGGAGGCTTTTTAGGATTCACTTGATCAAAAGTAATAAGTAAATCTTCTGCCATAGACTCTGCCTCACGACAAATTTGATCCAACGGTGAGTTGGAGAATGTCTGGGTACTAGCTTCCATCACGCTTGCAATATCGACTTATAGTGTTATGTATCACTTTTCCACACTTGGAACACAAAATATTAAGTAAAAAAGGAAAACGGCTATAAGAAAAAAGCCACTTTAAAGTTTCAATTTAGATTGTTAGACATTTTAAATCATGGCCCATTTCCTCCACAGGAGCAGTCAACTTGTCACGGATAAAGGCAAAATCCGTTTCTAAGACATCAAGAAAGTGTTGAAACGATTGATCCAAACCCGAGTTTAACATTGTCAGCAAGAATAACTCAGACTGAGTTGTATGATCCCAGTGACTCAAAATATCCTCCTGCTCAGCGGGGGT